GAACACTAATTCTTTAGACATCTTTAGATCAATACAGTAAAGTGTAATATGGTATATACACAGATTAATACCATCCAGACTAATGCTGTACAGATCAATACAGTAAAGTTTAATACAGTACAGTAATTCAGTACAAACTAATACATACAATCAGACAGTTACAACTGCTAGTCTTGGAATTCAGACACACTTATGTTCACCAACGGAAGGTCAAACTACATGTGAGCATATTAATCACACTAATTTTAAGATATTCTAAGAAGTGTTTATTTTTATCATAACAGGTTTTCAGTTCTATAACAACTTGACAAACATCTATTGCTCTGTCAAAAATTATATTTACACACACACACACACACACATACACTCCAAAAAATGCTAAGGTAATAGCAATGCATAAAATGTTGCTGTGGGTTGCTTTAGTAAAAAATAAATAACAAGCTTCAGGTCATATAGAAACAGATTACCAAATAAAGTTCACTAGATTTTCTAATAGAATTTTTATAATACATGGATTTCTTTGTAAAATTTTTAATTTGACCAATGGAAGTAAGCTATGGGTTTATTCTCAGCTGATGGATTAATTTCAACACACTCAGAGTAAGCGTATGTAACTTTTCATATTGTGTATAAAGACGTAACTGACGGTTGAAACTTGTTACAAAAGCAATTATTAACATATAACACGTAGTGTTTACTATAACACAACCTACTCCAAGTCTCTCACAATGTCCACTGCTCCCCATTTTCTTCTAATTTCTTCGGCTGTAGCTGAGGGACCATCCTTGCTTTCATCCAAGATCTCCTCTCCATCCAAAGAGCAAGTATTGCCAATAAACAGGATTAGGCACAAAATGCTAGAAATGTTTAGAGTAAAACAAAACAGAACATTATTGATGAAAAATCACTCAAGCATTTAATAAATACTTACAATGGTCAACACCTTTTATTCACATGCTGGTATTAAAAAACAGGTATTTAAAAAATATATAGGTTTGTTGACTGATATATATATTTTCAATACAGGATGTTCTGCACATATTTTCTGACATAATAACTGAACGTTGAATAAAAGGCCTTAACAATATCGTTAGGCCTATTAGACCAGATACTAGTGATTTAATTCTAATCACTAGTGGGTCAACCTTTTAGTTCAAATTGATTTACTTCCAACAACTAGTGGGTCAGCCTTTTAATTAATTGGTACAAGATCAGTGTGTGACAACTCAGTCATATGAGCTCAACAGTTTACTTGTTACTTAACATGTAGACTCACTTTTCATTATAAGTTCAAATCTATTATTGGTTCTACAGACATTTTAGAATGCAATTAACTATTTAATTTACAAGTCAGATTTTTTCTAATACTAAAACAAAAATGTCTTAAAAATAATAAAATAATGTCAAAATAGCTAAAACTTACATTAAATTCAAACTTCCAAGCTTTACACCCCACTTCTCACTTCCTTTGCAGTCTATGTTTGAACTTACGCTTAAAACACAATATTCTTAACTCTATGGAAACCATTACTTCTCTAGCAATAGCAAAATTTACATTATAATCTGATATTTGAAAATAGTTTCGTAATTATAAGAAACAGGTTACAGTGTACTTAAACGAATGAATAAGCCTCTAAAGTCTAAGTTACACTTTCTATTATGTTACTTGTTAGTTATTAATACTAATCGTACTATAGAAAGTTGTTCATATGTTAGAAATGAATACTTTTAGATGAAACTTGACAATCATACCATTACCAATATAATTTAACATAAATATAATCACAGTGAAGATCATAATATTATTAAATAATGTTTACTCACCTTGAAACCAACGGTAACTTTGTCAAATTTCTGTGGTGTGTTGGAATTAGGCCTATGATTTCCATACCCACTATAGTATAAGTATAACAAGTTCTCACTATCAATTTCAACTTTCAAGCACCATTCAATATCAAGTGAAAACAAATTAAGTTTAGACTTCTTCAGAAATCGGTTGGCACATGAGTAAAGTAAAACAGTAAATCAACTAACTGTTGTTAAAATGCACACGTGTCATTTGCCACAAAACTCTGTACCGTCAACATAAATCAAGAACGAACGTGTACTTTGAACCCTAAGTACGATTTTAATTTCTATTTGGTACGAAAGCTTACGATTGTTTCTCTGTGTCACTTCTGTCTCTCCCTTAAATAAATGTGTGATCACTCGTTCCCTTGGTTACGGTAATAAAACTATCATAAAGACATAAAAAAAGGAGAGTGCATACGCATGCGCTGAATCATTAGATATTTCGCATGAAATGTGTTAACGAAATATTACGCCCTCGCTCAAATAATAAGGAAGGAGGATCTTTAGCACAATGAAACAGAATTTGTTAAAATATGAAAACAAAAATACAAAATCTAGCAACCCAAGCACTTTCGAAAGGTGGTCCTTTTTCATCAGAGACAAACTATTAGAATACAGTTATGATTACTCTTACTATGGTGGAACTCACCATTCCTTCTAAAGGGATGTTTGACCTTGCTTTTCTTGTTATAAGTACAGTACTAAAAAATAGATGAATGATATGATCGCTTCAGGAAGATGGCAAGAAAACTTGATATCGTCTGTTGAATAGAGGACAATTTAGAATTTTGTAGAATTTCTTTAAATATGTATGCATTGTTGTTAGAAATGAACACGTGAAAATTATCTCCTCCTAAACATTTATTCATAATATGTTTTACAGACATAAAATATATATAATAGAAAATGGATACAATGACCTCTATATTTTTCATATTAAAAGAAAATTACCGCAAGAATTCTTACACGCATATCCACGATTCACCTTTATCGAAATAAGAAGGGCTAGTTTATAAAACTTTCTGTGTACGGTTAGTTTCAGCAAGCGAATCTTTTTAACCTTTAACACAGTAGATGTAACGTAGTTAATGTGTGCTCTCTGGTTTCACGCATGTGTTCTTAGTATTAGAAACTAAATAGCCTACATGGAAAGCGTTCCCTGGTGGATCAGCGGTAAGTTTACGGAGTTACAACACGATGTTAAAAGGTTAACCGATTGCAAATTGTCTGTTGTGTAGTTTTGCGCTAAAAAACAACAATTGTAGTGAAAGTTTTTTATTTGATAAAATATAGTTTAAAAAATAATAAGTTTTATTTTTTTCACAACACCCTTAGCCCTACTTTTTTCACTCTCATATTCAAACCGGGAGGGAAGTTTTGGTTCTGATAGCGAATGCACATCAAATTTGTATTAAACACAACAAACAAACTGGACATTGTTGTTACACTGAAAATCAACCGGTATAGTAATAGTGGATTTGACATTATTTGTCTAGGTCCTAATATGGACATTTCTGTTATACTGAAAATCTGAAATGAATGTTACTAAACACAGTGACTTGAATTTTTATGTCTACTGTACTAAATGATTTGAATAATGTCATACTGAAACGAACATTACTATCCCACTGATCTGAATATGACTGTAGCCAAGTGGTTAGGGTACTCGACTAGCAATCTGCGGGTCGCGGGTTTGAATTCCCGTCACACCAAACATGCTCGCCCTTTCAGCCACGGGTCGTTATAATGTGATGGTCATTCCACTTTTCGTTGGTGAAAGAGAATCCCAAGAGTTGACGGTGTGTGTTGTTGAGTAGCTGCCCTGCCTCTAGTTGATCACTGCTAAATTAAGGACGGCTAATGCAGATAGCTTTCGTGTGGCTTTGCGTGAAATTCAAAAACAACCAAATCAAACCGAATTTGACTGTCATACTGAAACGAACATTACTTGTTTGGACATTGATTTGAACATAATCATTAAATCTGTTAGATGGTGAGGAATGAGATGAAGTCAAGGTGTCAGGTGACCTGCCTGTCCGAAGGAAGAGAAAGCGAAGAGCTAAGTATGATGAAACAAGATCTGCATAAGATGATACAACTACATCACCTATGACTACATATAGGTAGGCCCTCTCAGAGGTTCAGAGAGGCCCTGGCCATTTCTATCTTTTGAGGCCCCTGGGTAAAATAAAAAATAAAAAATGACACTTATTATAAATAAAAGAAGACAATCATTAGCCCAAAAGAAAAGGGGAACATAATTTGAATATTTAATTAGTATATGTAATTTGCAGCTCTAAGCTGAGTCGAGTGTGTGTGTGTGTCACATTTTGGTCTAATTGGGAGGCACATAAAAACAAGTCGCACGGATTTCAGTTGCTTGAGCACTACATGCTATATTCAAAATCATATGACAACTTACCTAGAGTGTATCACTTTATTCTGGCACTTTCTATCACTCAAGTTCACCGTGAGTTGTTTCTCAAAGTTAAAGATAATAAAAACAAGACTGAGAAGCCTGTTGAGAGCTGAGCATTTTGAAGCTCTCGTGCTCATAAGCACTGAAGCCAGCATTATATCTGAGACACCAAACAGTCAAATCATAGATATGCTCTCAAAATCATCTGATGAGCTCAGATGGCTTCTGGTGTATTGAATTCATATTTTCAGATACTGTTAATGCATAAAAAGATTAAACACTTACATGTATTGTTTTATGTATATGTTATGCATATATAGAACGGGACATACTAATATATTGTTATGTCTCCAGTCGTTAGTTAATTTTCCGTAAATTCGTTCCGACGAAACTTTAGCGACACAGGTCCTTTCTTATATAAAACT